CCTGGCCCGCCTCGCCTTGCAGCGGCTTCCCACCAGTCTCTGCCTCCCGGGTCCCAAGGGCCCCTCCCTGCGTCTGTGTGTCTCCCGCTTTTGAGGTCGGCGTCTTCGGCCACGCCGGTCTGTGTTGCTGTGCGTGGGCTTTCTCTAGCGGCAGAGAGCGGGGGCTGCTTCCTGGCGTGTGGGACCCTCCGGGATCGGGACTGGAAGCCCTGTCTGCTTCCTGGCGTGTGGGACCCTCCGGGATCGGGACTGGAACCCTGTCTGCTTCCTGGCGTGTGGGACCCTCCGGGATCAGGACTGGAAGCCCCGTCTGCTTCCTGGCGTGTGGGACCCTCCGGGATCGGGACTGGAAGCCCCGTCTGCTTCCTGGCGTGTGGGACCCTCCGGGATCGGGACTGGAAGCCCGTCTGCTGCACTGGCATGTGGGACCCTCCGGGATCGGGACTGGAAGCCCCGTCTGCTGCACTGGCGTGTGGGACCCTCCGGGATCGGGACTGGAAGCCCGTCTGCTTCCTGGCGTGTGGGACCCTCCGGGATCGGGACTGGAAGCCTCTGCTTCCTGGCATGTGGGACCCTCCGGGATCGGGACTGGAAGCCTCTGCTTCCTGGCGTGTGCATGCTTAGCCGCTCAGCGGTGTCTGACTCTGCAAGCCACGGACTGTAATCTACCAGGCTCCTCAGTCTGTGGGATTCTTCTGGAAAGAATACTGAAGTAGATTGCCATGCCCTCCTCCAGGGGATCTTCCCCACCCAGGGATCGAACCCGCATCTTCTGTGTCTCCTGCATCGCAGGCAGATTCTTTACCTGATGAGCCGCCAGGGAAGCCCATGACCTGCTTACTGACTTAGGAGCCCGCCCCCACCCAGGATGACCTCATCATTACTGATGACTTCTGCAAAGATCACCTTTCCAGACAGGGTCCGATTCAGAGCCCCCAGGTGGATGAGGGTCTGGGGGGAGATTGTTCAGCCCACTGTAGCAGCTTCTGCAAAACCGTTTCCTCCTCTGGCAAATGGGGAAAATTAAGATGCCCACCTGGCAAAGCCAGAGGCTTAGACGCAGCAAGGAAGGCATCCAGCACAGACCCACGGTCGGCGCTGAGCACCTGTGGCTCTAACCAGGCTTCCGCAGCCCCGTGCCCAAGCCTCCCAGCCACCTGACGGCCATCACGTCCATTTAGCCGCAGTCACCAGGTCCCGCGGGCGCCCCCGAGACAAAGATGCAGGAGGTCGATGGGAGAGCTGGGGGGGAGCTGTGATGGAGCCGGGACAGCCCCCAACCAGGAGGCAGGGGAGGGCTTCTAAGAGGAGGCGGCAGTGTTGAGGTCAGGCCTGACGGAAGAAGAGTCCAGGTGGTGGGTGAACCGCTCGGAGGAGGGTCCGGCCCAGCCACGGGCGCTGACCTGGAGGGCGGCGTGCACCTCTGAAGGGAGTCTTAGTCGGGGAGGGACGTGGCCTGAGCGCAGGGGCTGCAGGGGGGCGGAGAGGGGCGCCTGGGGACCCCGCGGGGTTGCCACGTGACAAGGGGAGGCTGGGGGGGACGGGGCGGGCCAGGGTCAGGTGTGGCCAGGGGCAGCGCAGCGGGGGAGGGCTCAGGGCCGCTGGGCGGGGCGGTGAAGATGCCTGGGCCCCCTTCCCAGGGTGTGGCTCTGCCTCCTGTGGCCAGCGGAGGTCTGGGGAGGGTCGCCACTTAGCTCAGGTTTGGGCTTGTTGGTTGAAGCATCAGCCGACAGGGTGTTTCAGCAGGACGCAGCTAAAGAGAGGACCTGAGTCCAGGGCTGAGCCATGAAGGGTGTCAGAGAGAGGCTGAGGAAGGGGCCAGGGGGAGAGCTTCCAGAAGCCCAGGCAGGCCGAGCCGGGCGTGCACAGAGTGTGCACATCGGTGAAACCACACGTTCCCGTAGCCCCGTGCAGGGTCGCAGCCGTGGGCAGGGGGCTTGGGTGTCGCACCCGCCCCCACCTGGAGACAGTAGGTGGGGGTTGGGGGCTGGACGAGACACTGCCTTCCTCCCCCATCCCCTGGAGCTCCCAGACTCACAGATAATTACGAGGTGATGCGATAAATGCTACCTGTGCAGAGAGCCGTGGGCAGGCAGGGGGCGGCGGCTGCAGGCCCCAGGTGCGGCTGGTCTCAGTGCGTTTGCCCAGCAACTGTTTGAAAGATCCGTGCTCTCCAGACAGAAAACATAGGGCAAGGAAGGAGAGGAGACCCTGGGCCGCCAGGCCTGGGGTTGAAGGGAACCTAGGCCCTGCACTTGCCCATGGGGCCCGGGCCCTTGGTCGCCCTGCCAAACCGCCTCTGAGGCTGGAACGTGGTCTACCAGGTGCCACACGGACTCCGCAGCCCAAGCTCCCGGTTGTTAACAAGCCGCTCGCCCTGGAGGCCCACGCACCTGGCCAAGCGCCAGCCTCTGTCCTTACACCAAAGGCGGGTGCTGAGGTGGGAACACTGCAAGGCCGCCAGCGGGTGTCTGGGGGCAGCAGGGCCCCGCCCCTGTCTGCAGTTGGCCAGAGCTCACCTCCGCCACTGGGAGGCCACACCAGCCCCTGCACCAAGCCCGGGATCGCCTCCCATCTGTTCGGTGTGGCCTTTGTGGCTCTGAGAGGCAGTGGCTGAATGGCCATAGGGTTGGGGAGCCTCGGACAGCGGGCAGGGTGTTAGACCTGGCCCATCTGACGCAGGTGCATAAGGCATTCCAAGAAGGCAAACTGGGGCTTGATGTTGGGAAGAACATGCCAGCCACCCACCGTCTCTCTGTCCTGAGAGGTAGTGAGTTCCCTGTCGGGGCAGGTATGCAAGCCGAGCTTTCTAGGGTGATGGAGGTGGAAGCTCAGAGGCCAAAGATTTGGGACTGTGTGACCTCAAGCTGGTGAAGACGGACTTTTGTTTAAGGGTCCCCTTGGTGCAGACCCCAGGGGACACAAAATGCCCCTGATGACATCAGGCCTCCTGGCTCCCACGGGATCCGGAGGGTGGGTCGGGCGCTGCTTGCGTCTGGACCCACCTGCCTGGCTCTCTCACTGTGATGGAATTACAGGATGTTGTTTCTCCATTTTTCTTTTGTCTCTGGCCACGTCACCCGGCCTGCGGGACCTCAGTTCCCTGGCCGGGGGGTTGAGCCCCAACCATGAAAGCCCGGGGTCCTGACCACTCGGCTGCCAGGAACTCCCAGGACGTTGTGTTACTACCAGCTGGGGCCCACCTGGGGCACAGGCTCACCACTTCCGCTCCCCAGGACCTGACAGCCGGGTTGGGGAGCCTCCCGGAGGGGAAGGAATGTTTTCAGGGCCTTCTCTGTTTCCTGGGTTGCTGGCCTGCCAGGTAGCTTTGGGCAAGTCCTTTTTACTCTTACGCTGCGGTTTCCTGGGCCAGAAGCGTCCTGCTCACCCACGGGAGCCTGTTGGGAGCGGGAGCAGCCTTGGAGGCCACTGTGGGCCCGTTTCTCAGTCAGGGGATGGGTCAGGTGCCTGCCTGCCCGCCCGCCCCCCACCCCTGCTCTCCAGGTCCGGGGCCTGAGTCTCCAGTCTGGCCAGGCTCTCCAGGATCATTAGCAGATGAAAGGCTCCGGGAGGGTGGGGTGGGGCCCTAGGCTGCCTTGGCAGCTGCCCCTGGCTGGAGGCCAGACAGACCTAGACTAGCTCCTCTGGGAGCAAGCACATGGACCGACCAGCCCCGCCGGCCCGCCAGCGCCCCCCATCAGGCCTGCCCTCTGCCTGGCTCCCGGGGTGCCTGTGGGACTAACAGTCACCCACCAGGGTCTTCATGAGGGAAACCGAAAGTCACTCAGTCGTGATCTATACAGTCCAAGGAATTCTCCAGGCCAGAATACTGGAGTGGGTAGTCTTTCCCTTCACCAGCAGATCCTCCCAACCCCGGGACCGGACCCAGGTCACCTGCATTGCAGGCAGATTCTTCCTTTACCAGCTGAGCCGCCAGGGAAGCCCTTCGTGAGTGAGCCAGGGTTAATGGGTTACCCAGCCCGGTGACACATTTACCAGCCTTCCCGGGCTCTCAAGGTCCAGTCGCGCTGGCCTGGCCTTCAGGCTCTGAGCTCAGCACCTTCCTGTTCCAGCTTTGATGCCTCACGGCTCCGGAAGGGTCAGGAAGGTCCAGGGTCTTCTGCCCTCTCTGCTCCAGAGATGGCCCCCAGGGCCTGGCCTCTGGGTTCCAATGGCCCCTCCGCCGGGCTGGCCTCCCCAGTCCAATCCCAGCGGTGCTAGACAACCCCCCACCCCGCGATGGCGTCGGGCCCTCCCTCGGGGTCCTGGGCTCCCCCTCCATGGCTGACCATGCTACCCCATCTTGGGTCCAGCTGAGGGTTCCTGGAGAGAAGAAATGGCATGGGTCAGAGGGGAGAGTGAATGAATGAATGAATGATGGGTGCTTGTGTGCAGGCTGCAGGCGGCATGTGGATTTCAGAGGCTTGGGCAGGCTTGGACCTGCCAGCCTTGTGGGGGCACACACCCCACCCCTTCCTGTTGGGCAGGAGTGGGCGGGGGCGTGAGCAGACCGCCCGGTCATCCATCAACCTCCCAGAAAGTTGGGAGGTGAGGAAAGGCGGCCCGGGTCATGTAACTCCCTTCTGTCCCCGTGACCAGGGTCCTTCGAGCGACAGCCTGTGTATGCCTGCGGCCCCGGGGCTGGGGGAGAGGGCATCCCGTGGCCAGAAGTGGGGCCAGCCCCCAGATATCCTAAGGGGCCAGGAGAGACCCATTGCCTGACCTGCCCCTGCCCGCTGCCCAGCCTCATTCAGCTCCACAGAGGCCCTCAGAACTCAGGTCCTTTTACTCCTGGCTGGGGACCCACTGAGCTGGAAGAGGCTGGCCGCTGTCCCGGTCACACGGGCCCCCAGGGCCAGACCCGGGGCTGCTCCTTCCCCCACCTGGAAGGGTGCCTGTGCCTTTAAAGCCTCCCCCACTCCGGCCGGCAGGGGTGGGGTAGGGGGAGGAGGGGAGGAGCCGGCACGGGACTGAGCTCCGTGCCTAGTGCTGGAGCAGACAGAGAACCAGCCTTGCAGCCAGGTGAGCCGGGGCAGGGCGGGGGGGCCCGCTGCGCCCTGTGCTGTGTGACCCCGAGGCCGCCACTCGCCCTCTCTGAGCTGCCGGGGGGCATGGGAGAGGGCAGCCCAGACCTGGGGCCTCTTCGGGGGCGTCTGGGGCGCTGGGTCCCAGCCCCAGCTCCGTTCTGTCCCGTCTCTGCTCTGAACGGTCGCTCTCCCTCTCTGAGCCTCAGTTTGTGCACCTGTGTAATGGGAATGGGCTGCCCTTCAGGGTGATGGGGGCTGGTGCAGCCGGATCCCGCAGAGGGGCCGCACAGAGGGGCAGGGCCTTAGGCCCTTGGCCTCTTGTTTGTTGTCCGGTAAGTGGTCTGAGGCCGCCTGACCAGGCTTCCCGGCTGACTTGGCCACAGGTGTGGGGTGGGTGGAGGAGGCCGGGGGAGTGGGCTTCTCAGATTGAGAAGGAGGGGGGCCCAGCATGGAGAAACTGAGGCCCGGAAGGGTGGAGCAGCCTGGGCTCGTGGTGGGGTCACTGGGGGGTTCTGGAGTGGAGGCAGGCGGCGCTGGGGGCTGGGCGCCATGCCCTCAGACCACATCTGCCCCCCTTGGGCTCTGGGGGGCGGAGGGGCAGGCCAGTGGTGCGGGGGGGCTGACTACACAGCTCCAGGGGCCACCCACCCCCTAGTGGTCCTCACCGCTTGAACAGGCTTCCGGCCGAGAGTGGGGTCATTGGGTCTCGGGGGAAGGAGCCGTTTCTAATTCTCAGCCCTGTTCCGCCAGTGTGGGCAGCGCGGGGCACGGACCCCAGCTCCGGTCCAGGTGTGGTGCCGAGCTTCCTGCCCAGGGCTGTGCTCTTGGCCCCGGGGGACGCGACTCTTCACTGCCCGCCAGGTGGTAAGTGGGGCACCGGGGTGCCCACCTGCCCGTCCACGTGCCTGAGGGCCCAAGTCACCCCGGCCTGAGCCTCGGCTTCCGGCCAGCCTGTGAACGGCTCTGCCCAGCCTCACCCCTCGGACTGGGGCTGGAGGATTAGCAGAGAAAACCCAGGCTGTCGGCGCGCCTCCTCTCTTCACGCTCTCTCTGTGTGTCCTGGAACCTGCTCGCTCAGCCCAGATTCCTCATGGGCGTGTGTGTGTGCGCGCGCGCGTGTGCACTCACTGGGAGCAGGTGGCACATGGCAGACTCGGTATCTCTGGATGTGTGAGACTTGCATACTCCTGGGGGCAGGGAGCTCACCACCTTATGTGCCTAGCACAGGAGCCCTGGGGTCTGGAGGAGACCTCCAGGCTTCCCCCCTGCAGCGGGGGTGGGGGCCAGCTGGGACTGAATGTGGCACCTGACCTGGGAGGACGCGCTTTGTTGTTCTGAGCATCTTGCCTCTGTTGACTCGGCCTGTGAGATGCTCTCGTCCTTCCCGAGAACCTGAAGCCACTGCTCGGCTTCTCCGGGGCCCGTGGCAGCTTCTCCAGCCCATCCCAGCCCAGCGTTTTCCTGCTGGGGTCACCTGTAGGGTCCCGGTCCTCCTCTGTCCACTCAGGCCTTTTTCTGACCTCCTTCCGCCCCAGGCAGGGAGGAGACCATTGAGCAAGCTCAGGCAGGTGGGCAGAGCCCTGTGGCTTCCTACCGCAGAAGCCTCCCTGCTGACGGCCCAGTCATGCGGCGGCTCAGGCAGGACCCAGTGCCCCGGTGTTGCTGGCCGGCGTCCAGCCCTCGGGGATGGGTCTGAGCCTCGGTCCCTGGCTCCTGCCCCAGCCCGTCTTCTCAGTCACCCTGGTCTGCAGGGGCAGGATGATGTCCAGGCAAAGAGTGGTTGGGGCACCCCCAGCCCGGGGTCGTGGTGGAGAGCACACGGGAACGCACTGACCGGGTCCAATGCCGAGTCCGCCCAAGGGCAGCGGTGTGTTCCGGCTGTGAGGCCCCAGGGGCGGCCTCTGCATCTCCTTCTATCAGGTGGCGTGGCCTTGTGAGCTTTTTGCAGATTAGATAGTGTAGGTGGGGGGCTGGGGGCTTCGGGGCAGCCTAGATACAGCGAGCCCAGCAGCAGGCAAGGGAGGCCTGCCTCAGAGAGTGGCTGATCCTTGCCCTTGGCAGACAAAGGCCAGAGAGAGGTGCGCAAGGTCCAAGTCCCCGGGGGCGGGTCTGGAGCTGCTCCCGACTCCACTCCCTGGTGTCCGGGACACGCAGCCCCTGGGGCAGGTACGGGGCGGCCAGGTGTGTGTGTGCCCTGCTGATCTGTGCGGCCTTGGACCCGCTCTGGCCCTCTGGGCCCTGCCTTTCCAGGCTGGGCAGCTGGTTCCTCGGGCCTGGGGCACTATCATTATTGGACAGATGGTGGAAGCTTCTAGGTGTGAAGCAGGAGGGAGGGGTGCCCTTTCCGCCCAGCTGTGGGGTGTGGTGAGCCTCGCGGTCTGGGTTCTACCCCGCTGCTGGTGCCACCCCGACCCTGCTGCACGGCCTCAGGAGCCATCTCTGGGCCTGGAGTTCACTCTGAGCCAGGACAGGGCTGGCTGGTGGGAGACCCACCCAGACACCATCCTCTGGGACAAGGAGTGCCTGGTGTCTGTCAATGTGCTGCTCCTTCCCCGTTGGGGCCACACCTGTCACCTGCTGCCACCATCCAGGGGTCATTGCTGACAGCACCTGCCACCTCCAGGGCCCTCCCAGGGTGGCGTGAACTTTAGCCACCTGGTGATGGGTGGAGTGCCCCGGCATCCTGGCTGCCATGACAGGTCGGGACCGGACCGGACATGATGGGACACAACCTCTGGCCGCCCTGCCTGCCACATGCTGTCTTTGGGGATTGCCCACTCTCCACGGGGATTCAAAGTGCCCCCTGTCAGGGCAGTCTGAGTGTGGCTTGGGAAAGCATTTCCAGACACAGAGTATTTCAGAAAGAAATGAGTTTTTTGAGAATAAACAGCAGAGATAGTGAAAGTGTTAGTCGCAACTCTTTGTGACCCCATGGACTGTAGCCTGCCAGGCGCCTCTATCCATAGCGATTCTCCAGGCAAGAGTACTGGTGTGGGTTGCCATGCCCTCCTCCAGGGGATCTTCCTGACCCGGGGGGTGAACTCGGGTCTCCTGCATTGCAGTAGTGAAACTGCTAGGAGTGCAGCAGGCCTGGTCTCTGGTGGCCCTGGCCTGCAGCAGCGTGGAGCAGGGCCTGGGTTCCCAAGCAAAGGCCAGGCCCGTTCGCAGTGCTGAGACCACCAGATCCCAGCCACTAAACCAGTGGTCAGTGACAAGAACCCTGGCTCTTCAGCTTCGCTGGAAAGAATTTCCACCAAGACGGAAAGCAGTGAAGCAAGTAAAGGGGTTATTAGGAAAAGAGTACAGCGTGTGTGCACAGACACACGGCGGACTTGGACGGCAAGGCCCTGAGTTGCATCCACGTGGCAGTTTCAACTGCTTTATGGGGCATTTCTTTCAGTTTCCCTCCAGCCACTCGTTATGATTCACCTCCTTTGCATGTCTCAGGATCCGCCATGTGTGTACACGCATCTCTTCGCCAAAAGGGATTCTACCACAACGGGCTACGGGTAGAGCATCCCTTGACCTGACTCCCCTTGGGCCTCCGAGGAGTCTTTTCTGTGCGTGTGTGGTCAGGGAGGAGAAATCTGTGATCCATGCAGGGTCCAGCCTCCTCCCTTAATTGTCCTGCTATTCTTATCTTGGAGTTTCGATTGAGAGACTGTGAATCTCTGATAGCTTTATCCTGGTGGGGCGAGGGGGCATGTGACCTCCTGACAGCCTAGGGACAACTGATGCTTTCCATGGGTTAGTAGAAAATGTTTGTAGCCTTGAGACAAAGAAAGTTCCTGCTGGAAGGATGGCATTAGGTGATTAGTTAGGGCGCTATAGGGTGAGGACCGGGTGGGCATTTTTGCGTCACTGGGGGTCAGGAAACTGGCTGGTACAGATCAGGGAGGCTTTTGGCAATGGTTCCGGCTCAGTCCGTCCCAGAGACGACCTTCATCCTGGGCTCCAGGGCTGTGGCCTTGGGATAGGACTCCACGCCCCTGGGAGGGCTCTCTGGCCCCCTGTGACCCCTGCAAGACTAGGTGAGGGTTCCTCAGCCCCTCTTCTCCTCCTGGTGGGGCCCACCCCAGCTCCCAGCTCCCAGCTCCCAGCCTAGCTCCGGGCCCCCTGAGGAGCTCTGCAGGGCCCACAGGCGTGGCTCTGGGCGGCTCCTGGGATGGGGAGCCCAGCCTGTGCCTGGAGGGACTTTCCCAGGCAGACAAGTCGGCCTCCTCCTCCCTGGCCAGTGCCCCAGCCCACCATCATCTTTTGAGAAGTAGGGGGGTATCGTGCACCGCTGCGGCCCCCAGGCCTCGGGTAAGCTGGCCAGGGTCAGGAGGAGCCCGGCCACTGCTGGAGGCCCAGCACCCCTTCTCTGGCCTCAGTTTCCCCTCCTGACACTGATTTGGGTGAGAGCCAGCCCAGTGGTGGGGGGCGGGAGGGGTTTGGGGGGAGGCTTGGATGTGGTTTTGGCCAGTCCAAAGATGTGGGGGGCGGGGATGGGAGACAGAAGCCAGTCTCCCAGCAGGGTGTCTTCCTCTGGGCTTCCTGTGGGGAGCTGGGCCTTCCTGGGCTGGGCCTGGGAGGAGAGGGGGAGGGCGCCGGCCTACCGCTCCCCCACCCCAGCAGGCTGAACCTCGTAGGGTACCCCCAGCCCTCTTGGGAGCCCACTTGAGCCCTTGGGCAGAAAGCTGGGCGGAGGGGAGGCCGGAGCGTGGACCTCAGGAGGCCTTAGCGAGCTTCTCCCAGGGGCCTGGGTGGGGAGAGGACGCAGAGTGGGACGAGGGTCTCAGCCGAGGGTCCCAAGCCCAGGAGAAATGCCCAGCATGCCCTTGCAGTGCCCAGCATGGCCGGACCCAGTGAATAGGCCTGGGACCCAGGACATGGCCTGCGGGCTCTCCGGCCCGGCAAAGGGCACGGAACCGTCCCAGGGCGGGTCCCTCTGAGTAGGGACGGGGTGAAGCGGAGGGGTCCCGGCCCAGGGTTTTCCGGCCGAACATCGCCCTTCGGGGGGAGCTGAGCCTGGGAGAGGGGGCCTTCCCCTCTGATGCCCGTTGGGTCACACACCCCCACCTGCCGTCCTTTCACTGGGACCCCACGGTTAATGGCTGCCCCTCCCTGTCCAGCCTGGCAGGAAGTCACCAAAGAAGCCACAGTGTCAGGGTGAGGCGAGGCCGGCCGGCTCCCCTCTCGCCTATGGGCCTGCAGCGTCCCCCCAGCGAAGCCAGTGCTTAGCTGACGCTTCACGCCCGGCTCAGAGGGCACAGAATCTGCCTGCGGTGCTGGAGCGCAGGGTTCATCCCTGGGTGCAGAAGACCCCTGGAGGAGGGAAATGGCAACCCGCTCCAAAGTATTCTGGCCTGGAGAACCCCATGGACAGAGGAGCCTGGCGGGCTGCAGTCCGTGGGGTCACAGAGTCAGACAGGACTGAGCAGCTTACATGTTGACCCTTTCCAACGCACTTCATCTCTCATTGCACTGGAGAGACGTCCATGACTTTCCCAAAACCCCATGCAGGTGAGACGGGGCAGGCCGGCCCCGGAGCCCGTGAGGCCAAGAGACAGACAGACAGACAGACAGACACACACACACACACACACACACACACACACACACACACCTGGGAGAAAGGCCCTCGGGGGCAGAATTCACAGGAACAGGGGAGCAGCTGACAGCTTCCTCTTGCAGACACAGAGACTCCTCACATCGCTCCCCGCAGGCTTCAGAGACACCCTCTCCATTTGCAGGAGGACGAGCAGGCTGCGTGCTCACAAAGTCTCCCTGGAGCAGGTTCTGTGGTCACAGGCTCCCACGGAGTGTGAAGGCGGCCCCAGTTATTTCTGCAGCCAGTCCAGCCCACACCATCTCTGCGGCCCCCTCCCTGGGAGGCTCGGGCCGCCCACCCACTGAGGAAGGTAGGCTCCGGTCCTGCGGCGGCCTGGCTGAGCCGATGATGTCGGGAGACATGGGTGCCCCCCTCACTTTGAGCGCACCGGAAGCTGGGCCCCATGGTCTGCGGCAGGTCACCTGGGGCCCCAAGGACAGCATCAGGAAGGAGTCAGGCCAGGCCTGTTCCTGCCTGACTGACCTGAAGGCCACCGTGAAGGGCCAGGCAGGTCCAGGGGGCCCCCCTCCCAGGAAGGGTCCTGGCCGGAGGGGGGCCCCGAGGCTGAGCAGGAGGGTTTAGGGGGCAGAGATGGGCCAGGAGCTGCTGGGAGACAGTGTGGCCTGAGCAAAGACAGGGAGGCTGGGGAGCCCGTGGGGCCGGGGGCCGGGAGGAGGCCCAGGTATGTCCTTCTGAGGCTGGGCTGTGTGCCGTGCCCCGGGGGTTGGCGGTCGGTCCCCTGACCCGCCACCCCTGCGCCTCGCGCCACAGAGCATGAAGAAGCGGTCCCTGCTGCTGGCCTTGGCGGCCGTGGTCTTGGTCCTCCTGATCGTTGGGCTCTGCATCTGGCTGCCCGAGACCTCCAAGTCGCATGGCCACGTGTACCCCAGGGCCGCTGTGGCTGCGGACGCCAAGCGCTGCTCAGAGATTGGCAGGTGAGTGGGGCCCTGGGCCCGGGGGACCGCCCCTGTCACACCCCGAGGCATCACCCTCGCCCCACTGGGGCTCAATCCCCGACCCTGCCGGCCCTGGTCATCGGGCTGCCTGGGCGAGCGGTGTTCGTGACATGGAGCTGCTCGTCCTGTCCGTGGACCTTCCCGGCAGCCTCTGGTCAGGGGTGAAGGGGACCCTGGAGCTGAGGGCAGGGTGTAGGGGTCTCCCGCTTATCGGCTGGGCCCCTTTCTCAGTTCAAGGGTGTCTGCCTCTTCAAAGAAACTCTGCTGTTGCTCTTTATAGGCCCACAACTCACGTATACAAAAGTCAGTTCTCACTTACACAGGAAAAAGATGTTATTAATAAAAAAAGGAACAAGTATTCATTCTTTTCCAATTATCAAAGTCATGTCCATCTGTCGGCGTGAAAAGCCTGTTGGTTTTCAAATACAACAAATGTTTTGCATTAAAAAATGAAACCCGTGGGCTCCTCTTGGTCCTCCCTGGGGCGGCGGGGTGCGCCCCCCGAGCCACTCACCCCCACCGTGCCGCTGGCAGGGACGCGCTGCTGGACGGCGGCTCGGCGGTGGACGCGGCCATCGCGGCCCTGCTGTGCATGGGGCTCCTGAATGCCCACAGCATGGGCATTGGGGGCGGCCTGTTCCTCACCATCTACAACAGCACCACGCGTGAGTGCCCGGCGGGGCAGGCTCCGGGGTGGGGCGGGGCCAGGACCATGCAGCGGGCCCACTCGCCCTCTCCTTCCAGGGAAGGCTGAAGTCATCAACGCCCGCGAGGTGGCCCCGCGGCTGGCCACCGCCGGCATGTTCAACAGCTCGGAGCAGTCGGAGGAAGGTGAGAGCGGGCTCGGGGCGGATGCGGGGCCAGGATGAGATGTCTGCGGGACTGGGGGTGGCCCACAGCACCCCCACCATGGAGGATCAAGCCCATCATCACAGAGTGAAGGGCGTTTCTGCTCAGGCCCGTCCAGGGCCACAGGGAGCTAGAGAAACGGAATGATGCCTGTTATGTCAGCTTGCGTGTATCCGGGGCCGGCACTCGGCTCAGTCCACGGCGAGCCCCTTGACCCACACTTGGCAGGAGAGCTCGGTGCGGGTTCCCGTCATATCGCTGGGGACCCTGAGGCCCGCCCAGGCAGGCCATGTAGACTGACCAAGGTCACACACAGCTTCCCATGTGGCTCAGCGGTAAAGAACCTGCCCACAGTGTGGGAGACCCAGGTTCAACCCCTGGGCTGGGCAGACCCCGGGAGAGGGGCATGGCAACCCACTCCTGTCTTCTTGCCTGGAGAATCCCAGGGACGGGGGAGCCTGGGGGGGCTGCAGACCACGGGGTCACAAAGAGTCAGACACATGAGCGCACACACACACACAAGGTCACCCAGCTGGATGGTGGGAAAGCTGAGTTTGAACGCACCTGTTGTGTTTTTAAAGAGCATCCAAGTCATTCATCGTTCGTCTGTTTGCTCACCTGTGGGGTTAGCCGTCTAGAGGATGGGGCGGGGTCTCTTTTCTAACCTGCCCTTCAGCCCCAGGGGATGCCCTGCACGGACCCCGGTGGATTGCAGGACCAGGCTGGAGGGATGGAGATTAAAGGCCCGAGTGGGTCTGACCCCCTCCTGCAGGCTGTGCCCCCGGGGGACCGCAGGGGCCTCTGGGAGCGGCCCTTTTGGAATTCTCTTTCTCTCCAATGTACAGTCAGTTTTTGAATTTTCACCCGCTGGGCAGCTCACCAGGTGTAGCAAAGAAGTTATTCGGGGTGTGACGCTGCTAACATCTTACAGACTGGGCATATTGCATCCTTGAGGGTCACGTGTTTGACCCGGGCTTGTCAGGCGTTGGGGCGTTTGTCACCTGAAACAAAGGTACCCGGTGAAGGGCAGAGTCCAGGAGGAGCAGAGGGAACATGAGCACGGGTGTGCCCCACGTCACCGCGTGGCCTGGAAAGCAGGCGCGGGCAGGCCGAGAGGGCACGTGGGTTTACCAGGTGCAAAGACCCGGAGGCTGGGGCCGGGGGTGGGCGTCCGGGGGACGGAGGAGGACGCAGGGTCAGGTCGCACTGGACCTCCTGGTGGGTCATCGTGAAGACCTGGCCTTGCGTCTGAAGGAGGGACAGTTGTTCCCTGCGTCGGAGGGCGCAGAGGTGGACCTGGCTCTTTGCCGACGGGACCCCTCGGGCTGCCAGTCAGGCGGCCCGTCGGGAAGTCCCGTGATGGGCAGGGATGCTGAGGGCTGGTGTTGAGCGCAGCCAGAGACCGGAGCCGTGGATCTGCTGACGGGTCTGCTGTGACACACAGCCAGGGGTCCCGGGGAGGACAGAATGGCCCTCACGGGGACTGGCAAGGCTGCCAATGGGTCCCCCGTGAGATGCCTTTTTTGACCCTCAGATCTGGCCATCAGGGGAGCAGCCTCGAGAGTTCAGCCTGGGGGCTGTCAGCACGTAACGGGGGCTCAGTGGTAAAGAATCCGCCTGCCACGGCCGGAGGTGCGAGAGACCTGGGTTCGATCCCAGGGTCGGGAAGTGCCGGGGTCCAGCCTCGGCAGGATCCAGGGGGTACCCTTAGGATAAATGGCATTGGCGAGAGAAGACACGTGAGACCAGCCTTGATAGGGCCAAGTCTGCAAGGGAGAGAGAGAGAAAGAGGGAGAGAGAGAGAAAGAGAGAGAGAGGGAGAGTGACCAGACGGGGGGTGTTTGCAGGGTCTGGCAATGCTTTGTTTTTTACCGTGGCTTTTATACCCTAAGTTAGTACATTTCTAAGGGGAAGATAGTTTAACATTACATCAGCTTGTCCTTCACGAAACCAGGGTGTTTTCTGCATACTTCTTTGTTTATGAGGGTCTTGTACATTATATTCTGGCCTTGGGGCCTATTAACATTTTATGCAGGTCAGGTGAATGCAAACCTATTTTCTGTTTCTATGGTGACCTTAACTGAAAAGTAGCAGTCTCATAGGGCAACAGTACGGAGTAGAAGTATAACCTTGTTAACACAAAAATTAATCCTTCTGCAGAAGTTGTCAGTTGCGTTATCGAAGAAGTTTACCCCAGACTGAGTCTGCAACTTTGGTGAGGCAGCTTCTGCCTAGCACTCCTGGCTGACAATTAACAACCATCTCATTGTTACCACACTAGGGCTAAGTTCTTATTTCTCTAGATCTTTAGCTATATTAACAATGGTTTCTATAACACAACCTTAGCACATTAAAAGCAAAAACACAGCAAGCAAAACACAGCAAGCAAATGTCAACCCAATAACCACCTATAGAATAATTTTTCTTATGTTTTCTAATAGGACTCCACCCCTCAAAAAGGCTCTGTGTCTATTAGGGCTTTTATATAATCAGGTTCTTTATGCTATTTTATGATTAGGATATTATAAGCAATCATGCATATTAGTACCAAGGGCATAAATGCATTTGGCTAACAAACTACCAGCAAAGGAGTTTAAATTAAAACACTCCTTTCACCCTGGATAATCTCATAAAATACCACCACCTGGGAAACTTATTGATTAAAGTTCTAAACTGATTCTTATTTGGGAAGAGATCGGGGAAGGCCTTCCTGCCTGTGTCACAGAAATTAGGGAGTAGTCCATTGAGGCAGGCATCAGAAAGACAGATACCATCTTTAAGGTGAGTGCCGGGGGCAGCTTTTCGGAATCCCTGAAAACCTGATCCGCCTTGCCCGTCAGGCTTTCTCCTCGTGACCTTGTCATGGGTGGGATCTCGTGAGCTGGCCTTTTCGGAATCCCTGAAAACCTGATCTGCCTTGCCCGTCAGGTTTTCTCCCTTTTGGCCTTGTCATGGGTAGGGTCTTGTGTGTTGGCTCCCGGCAGGGAAGATCCCTTGGAGGAGAAAATGGCACCCACTCCAGTGTTCTTGCCTGGAGAATCCCATGGACGGAGGAGCCTGGTGGCGGCCTGCAGTCCACGGGGCCCCAGGGGTCAGACACGACCTCACGTGCACACACCCTGGAGCGGGCAGCCTGGTGTGCGGGAGGGCAGACAGAGGCGGCGCTGGGAGACGCAGAGCAGCCCGGGGAGACAGGGACGGGCCAGGCGAGATGAGAAAGGGGCCCGGCTCCCTGGTGAGCGGGCGGCCCAGAGCCTCACTGGCCCGAGGTCAGGCCCGTATGCGCAGAAGGGGAAGGATGTGTGCTGGCTGGCAGACCTTCCAGGAGGTGATGTGGTAACAACCCAGCTCTTGGAACCTCGTGCCCGACTTCTGGGTGGGAGAGGCCGCTCAAGAGCCTGGGAGTGGCCGAAATGGGTGCCCCCTGCCCCGCCCTGCCCCGCATCTCCGGGTGAAAGCAGGAAGGGGCCTGTGAGCCAGCCTGTGCTGAGGCTGTGTGTCAGGGCCGGGCCCTAGGGCACGCCGGCGGGCGGTGGGGCCTGGCGGGGAGCTGGGGTCCGGGGCTCTGTCTCCAGTGGCATCCTGGCTTCTCAAAGGATGGGGCTGGGAAACAAAACCCTTCATGGTCAGATGGGGAAACAGATCTGGAGAGGGCACGGCGCAGGGGTCTGGGACAGTGGAAGACAGGAAGAGGGGCTCTTGCTTTGGCACCAGCTCAGCCTTGAGGGTGGTCTGGGGCTTGGACTGGGGGCCTTGGTGGGTTCTGGTGGAACCCTTGAATCAATCGTACAAGGTGAAGGGGCTCGTGACCCGGGAGGCTCAGACCGAGAGAGGTGGTAAGGTCCGGCTTCCGTACGCTCTTGCTGCGCAGCCGTGAGCCTGGACCAGGTTTTCAGACACGGGGCCCCTGCAGAGACAGACGTGTAGGCCTGGGGGACAGCGGGACCCCCGTGCCCCCAGCAGACACCCCGAGCAGAGTCGCATGCCTGCCTGCCAGGACAAGTGTGTCAGTCACTCCGTCGTGTCTGACTCTTTGCGACCCCATGGACTGTAGCCCACCAGGCTCCTCTGTCCATGGGATTCTCCAGGCAAGAGTACTGGGGTGGGTTGCCATTTCCTCCTCCAGGCGGGTCTTCCCAACTCAGGGATCGAACCCAGATCTCCTGCCCTGCAGACGGATTCTTTACCCTTTACCAGGCACAACCGCAAGCATGCATTTCCTGAGCCTCTGGGTCCCACCAGGGACATGCCTGGACCATCCCATGCCGACCACCAGCCGGGTGCCTCTTCTTTTGCAGGCGGGCTGTCGGTGGCGGTTCCGGGCGAGCTCCGCGGCTACGAGCTGGCGCACCAGCGGCACGGGCGGCTGCCCTGGGCACGTCTCTTCCAGCCCAGCATCGAGCTGGCCCGCCAGGGCTTCCCGGTGGGGAAGGCCTTGGCGGGAGCCCTGGAGAGGCAGCGGGAGACCGTGGAGCGGAACCCCGCGCTGTGGTACGCCTGCATCCCCGCCGTGGGCACAAACAGGTGGCGATTTCCGGCGTCGGCGCCCACCCAGGGACCAGAGCCCTGACCATCAGAGCCTGGGGGGGCTGGACACCATGGGCAGGGGCACCCCATCCTTTGGTCTCCTTTGGGGGTGGGAGCTGGATGGCTGAGCCCGCCCCCATGCCTGCCTCACGAGAGCCCCACCCCTGCCATCCCAGCGAGGTGTTCTGCCGTGACGGGAAGGTGCTGCGGGAGGGGGACCAGGTGACCATGCCCCGGCTGGCCGACACCTTGGAGACGCTGGCCTCGGAGGGCGCCCGGGCCTTCTACAACGGGAGCCTCACAGCCCAGATTGTCAAGGACATCCAGGAGGCCGGTGAGTGGGCGGTGCTGGGGCCCTGGGGCGGGAAGCTCCATAGCGGGAACACTGAGCCTGGGGTCCTTGGGTCCTGCCTGGACACTGGGCCCTCAGGGCGTGCCTGGCAGGGGAGGGTCACAAGTGTGTCTGCAGCTGGTGATGGGCTGCATGGATCCACAGCTCCTGGTTAAGGCAAAGTGGAGGGAATTCCTGCAGTCTAGGACAGGAAGCCCAGGGCTGCAGGGTTGGGCGCATTGAGGGGTGGGCAGGAATGCAGTTGTAGGCAGGAGCCAGGATTGGGGAAAGCACGCAGGTGCACACCCCAGAAGACTTCCTGGAGGAGGTGGCACCTGAGCCACAGGTGAGGTTGGACTTTGCAGGCAGAAAGCAGTCTGAGGCCTGGAGAGAGGGGTTATAATTCTCCAGGAGGATCACAGGGAAGGAGGGTGGACTTGCTGAGAGGGGTGTGGGGGGTGCTGCCTGCAGGGAACTTGTGGGCAGGTTCTGGTGTATTTAGGAGCCCCAGTTGCCTCTCTTTTCTGCTCCCGCCTCCCCAAGCTGTGTGTGTCAGGGAGGAGGGCGCTTAGCGTATTGACCTTTACCACTGACACCGGAAATTAGCCTATAAATACTTCAAATACTTCATCTGTCTGGAGCCAGTTTCCCTGGAGAATTAAGGGCCTCCCTCCACCCACCCACTAGTCAGAGGAGGAGGAGGCTGATGGGAGAGGGGGGACCTCTGGCCCCCCAAGAGGACAGATGTCAGACCTGGAGGCCAGTGGCACAGCAGGTGGAGAATGCTGGCCTGGGCCTGGCCCCGGGGAGGTGGCACGGTCAGGGGGTTGGGGGGGAGGCGGTGGACAGGGCTCCCCACTTGGTGGTCCCCCAGAAGTGTGTCTCATCCCTGGGTCCCCCGTTGTAGGGGGCATCATGACGGCCGAGGACCTGAACCACTACCAGGCAGAGCTGATTGAGCAGCCGCTGAGCGTCAGCCTTGGGGACGCCCAGCTCTATGCGCCCAGCGCCCCACTCAGCGGGCCTGTGCTGGCCCTCATCATCAACATCCTCAAAGGTCAGCCATGTCCCAGGCGTGGGCTGGGCGGCCTGGGCCGGGGGGCACACCTGGTAGATCTAGACAGTCATTGGCCACCTCAGGGCCTGGGTAGCCCTGTGACTGATGTGTGTGCCCAGATGCAGGGACCCTTGCTTCCTTCCCCTGCCTCCTAAGTAGGCACTGCCGTTGGACAGTGAATGTTCCGCTTCTCAGGGTGAGCCGAGTGGCTCAGGGAGGCCTCCCGGGCACCCCGCTGTCCTAGCCAAGGGGACCCGGGGCCGCTGGGGTCACTGTGGATCTGCCCGACCAGGGTACAACTTCTCCCGGGCGAGCGTGGAGACGCCTGAGCAGAAGGGCCTGACCTACCACCGCATCGTGGAGGCCTTCCGCTTTGCCTACGCCAAGAGGACCCTTCTTGGGGACCCCAAGTTTGTCAACGTGACTGAGGTATGGGGGCAGGGGCGAGCCCCACTCCGCCTCATTCCTGTTTGCACCGCCGACTCTGGCCTCGGGGCCGCCAGGTGCTGGGGTGGACTGCTGACCCTGTGTGCTGGCCTCTGGGCCAGGGCGCTCTCGCTGGGGGAGTGGGGGTGCTGGGGGGTCCTTAGCGCCCGCCTCCTCCGCCACACTGCGGCTTCGGGGCCTCAGCACGAGCCATGTCCTTGGCCTGGAAGCCCCTGGAGTGGTCAGCGCCAAGGTGAGGGGCGAGCACACAGGGGCATCCCAGCCCACAGGGCTGATGATGAGGTTCAATCCAGGCAGGCAGAGGCCCAGGCCACACGCGCTCCCGGTCACACCCGCCTCCCAGATCCCCACTGCCCAACCCGCTCACTTCCCAGGCGCCCCCTGTTCCAGGCTGGACCCCCGCCTCCATCCCCGTCATGGCCCTCATCCCCTACTCTCCCCTACTCGGGTCCGCCCTGCGAGGTGGGCCCTGCAGCCCCCACCCCCACAGCATCCCACCCCCTTCACCAGCGCCTCCTCCGCTCAGCTTCTTCGTGTAAAGTTGTGGACATTGCAGCTTGTTTCCTTCCTCTCTGCCACCTCCGGCTCCCCTCCGCTCTGCCTGTTTCTTGGCCTGTTCAGACGCCCGGGTCAGCCTTTCCCCAAGGGTCCCACCCGCATCTTGAGGCCTCCAGTCTCTTAGCCTCAACGGACCCCCGCCCTGGGCTGCTGGCGTGTGGACTTTAAGGCTCAGGGCAGTTGTCTCCTAGGATGTCGCAGTCCCTCGGTCCAGCTGCTCTCTCGGAAGTAGATTCGAGCTTAATGTTCTCCCCTTGGATTAGTCACTTAATCCGTGTGTGTTGCAAGAACCCACGGCCTCTGCTTGGCCTCCAGGGCCCTGCCTTGCCAGTAAACTCCACACGTCAGGGGTGACCAGTCACACACCCGGGACAGGATCTTCAGGATCCAACAAGTGTGCATCTCCAGTCAGGCCCCCGCTGTCCCCGGCCGCCCCGTCTGCACTGTTCACCTACCCGGTGAAGGTCACAGCCCTTCCCAGTTGTGTTCCGCCCCCACACACAGCTGCCAGAGGGTTAACACCCGTCAGTGGTTCCCTTCTCCGCCCCAAGTGCAGGAGGTGTTAAAGGCCTTTCAGGGCCCATAAGGACCTGTGTGAGCAGCCCCTGCAAGCGTCTTCAACCTCCTCTCTCCCTAACTCCTTTCACTGTCTGCCTGTCGCTCATAGGCCTGCCTCAGGGCCTTTGCATTACCAGTCAGGTGGCTTTTTTCAGATATCACCTCCTCCAAGAAGCCCTCCCTGACCACTCTCATTCTTCCACCCTCTCGCCCCCTCCCCTCCCTCATCTGGCCCGTTCTTTCCAGCATATCCCTACGTGTGTTTGTCTTCCCTGCTGTGAGGGTGGGGACAGGCGTGTCTGTTCCCTACTGGTGCCCCAGTGCTGGGCGCGAACTTACAAGCTCCGTGAATGAGTGAATGGGTGGTTGGGTGCAGCGAGAGTCAGGGTTCGGAGGGCAGACGGTCACTCAGAGATGCTGGGCAGCAACAGAGACAGAGGCTGGGGAGGGGGTTCAGGCAGGCCATGTGAGGCTCAGCCTTAGGAGGGTTGCGGTAGGAGCCACGGGCGGGGGCTTCCTGAGAACCGCTCGCACAAGCCTGTGCCCCCTCCCCGCCTGCTTCACCCCCTCAGGGCAGCTCTGGGGTCTCGGCAGGTGGTCCGCAACGTGACCTCCGAGTTCTTCGCCGCCCAGCTCAGGGCCCGGATCTCCGACAGCACCACGCACCCGGCCTCCTACTACGAGCCTGAGTTCTACACGCCGGACGGCGGGGGCACCGCACACCTGTCGGTGGTCTCAGAGGATGGCAGCGCCGTGTCAGCCACCAGCACCATCAACCTCTAGTAGGGCCGCTGGGCGGCCGGGCGGGCCAGGGGCTGCCACGTGTCCCAGAAGGGGGGCTCCACGTTGGCAGAGCTCCTTTCCGGAGAGTGTGTTGGTGGGCATGGGCCGGGCGGGCTGGCCCCTCTCTGACCCCGCCGGTCGGTCGGCAGCTTCGGTTCCAAGGTGCGGTCACGGGTCAGTGGGATCCTGTTCAATGATGAGATGGACGACTTCAGCTCCCCCAACATCATCAACCAGTTCGGGGTGCCCCCCTCGCCGGCCAACTTCATCGCTCCAGGTGTGGGGCGCAGGGCCTGGGTGGGGAGCGGGTTGGTGGCCCCGCGGCCTCTGACCCGCTGCTCTGTCCCCCCGCCCCCCCTACCGGCTGCAGGCAAACAGCCCCTCTCCTCCATGTGCCCCGTGATCATCGTGGGTGAGGACGGCCAGGTCCGCATGGTGGTGGGCGCCTCCGGGGGCACCCAGATCACCACGTCCACGGCGCTGGTACGTGCTCCCCCCACCTGAGCGCCTAGCCCCTTGCCCACTGGGCCACGCTGACCCCATCCCCACACCCCCAGGCCATCATCAACAGCCTGTGGTTCGGCTATGATGCCAAACAGGCGGTGGAGGAGCCCCGGCTTCACAATCAGCTTCTGCCCAACACCACCGTGCTGGAGAAAGGCATCGACCAGGTGGGGCGGGGATCCTGGCCCCTCAGCCGGCAGCCGCGGCCCCAGGGTGTGCGAAGCCCACGCAGGCGGCCCAGGCCGCCCCTGAGGCCGCGCCCCCTCCCGCCCGCAGGCGGTGGTCGCGGCCCTGAAGACCCGGCACCACACCACGGAGGAGACGTCCACCTACATCGCCGTCGTCCAGGCCGTCGTGCGCACAGCCAGCGGCTGGGCGGCCGCCTCGGACTCTAGGAAAGGCGGGGAGCCCGCAGGCTACTGAGCGCTCCGGGGAGGAGAGGCCCGCCGGCTGGGGGCCGGGGCGGGACTTGGGGGGCTGGCTTCCCCTGGGAGCGGCGCAGCAGGGCAATAAATGCGGCGGCGGCGCCGGGCTCTGGGCGGTCCTGCGTGCCGGCTCCCGACTCCCTGGGCTTTAGCGCGCTGTGTGAGGTGGGGCCGCCTGGGGGGAGGTTGGAGACGGGACTCGGGACTCGGAGGCCTTGGCAGCGCGGGCGCTAGGCCCCGGGGGGTGGGCTGCACCCCCGAGTCCTGGCACCAGGGTCGGGCCGCCCCGGGACATGTCCCGGTGGCGGCCACCAGTGGGCGCGCGGCCCCGGCGATTCGTCCGCCGGTTCCAAGAACCCGGAGACCTCCTCAGCTCGCTGGTGCGCGCCAGGCACGCACTGAGGGAAAACTGAGCTCCGGGGGAGATGGGGCTGGGCAAGAGGCTGGAGAAAAACATGCTGGTCAGGACCAGGCCCCCGGGGGGCTTTCCAAGTGGAAACCCAGAGTGAGATCCAAGCTGCAGTGCGCTCCAAGAAGCAGGCCCGGTTCTCCAGGATCAGTGAGCTGGAAGAGGTCCTCACTTCCGAGGGCCAGGGCTTGGACGGGCGCCCGGGGTTAGGGCGGCTCTGGGTGGGAGGGGGGCACCTGGAGATGCTGCCCCCAGCCTCCGCCACGGGGCAGCCCCTCCCGCCGGCCCTCCGCCTCTAACACAGAGTTGTAAGGAGGGTCGGCAGGTGCTGGGAAAGAACCTGGGAGGTGGGCAGGGCAGAGGGGGGGCCCAGTCTGACAGCCTGGTGGGCACCCCCCGAGGGCAGGGACACAGGAGGCAGGAAATCCTAGGGATTCCAAAGCGCCCTCGGGGAAGCGGGGCTTTGCTGGGAACCGGGGAGCAGCCACGGGGTCCTGGGAGCCCTGCATCCGAGAGGTCCCCCTGCTCAGGACTGAGCCCTGGACCGCGGCGTCCCTGGGGTCCTCGGGGAATGGGATAGAGGCTGAACTGCTGGGGTGGGCACGTCTCTCCTCTGCCCTCGTTTTAGCCCCAGAGGAGAGGCTATGGCTCCTTAGCAGGGGAGAAGACTGAGGCCTTGCTCCCGCGGAGGTGGGAGCTGGCCTGGAGTGGAGCCCCCCTGAGCCCCAGCAGGCGGGCAGGGCACCCCCAGTTCCCCAGGCGCTGTGAGGCCCGGCTGAGGGCCCCCTAGGGTCCTGGCTTCCCATCTTTCTCCTGCCCCTCACCTCCTGGAGAGGAAGAGGAGGCTCCACCCTGACCCTGGCCTCCCCACGGGTGGGCTGGCCCTAGCCCAGGAATGCACTCTTGCTTCCTGCTTGAGCAATGTCACTGTGATTTGGGGGTCCCTGGGGGGTGGAAGGAGTCTACAGCCCTTCCCACCCTGCGAGGTGGCCTGCTGCCCCAGGAGTCCCTCTGGCTCAGGCTGGCGGGGGCTCCGGATGGGGCTTGGCAGAGTGTGTGACTGTGTGGACTCTCTCTGCCTGTTTCTCTGCTGTGCCTGGAGGGGTAAAGAGACCAGGGGACAGCGAAGCTCAGTTGGGAAGGAAGCCAGGGTACTTTGGGGGTGGGGAGGCTGGAAGTCCAGCCCCCAGGCCCTGCACCCTCTGTGTCCTGATGAGCTGGTCAAGGGGGCATCTCAGGGTACCTGCTTTCCCAGCTGGGCACCCTGAGGCCTGGACGGGGCAGGGTGCGGGCTGGTGTCCCCAGGGGAGGAGGCGCACTCAGTTCAGGAAGAGGGAGGCAAACACGCTGCCCCCAGGGGTGGGTAGAGACGTAGGTGCAAGGGAAGCCCCCTCCCTGAGGCCCAATGGCGTTTCCAGGACCACAGGCCCCAGGGTGGACCGTCGGGTGGGCGCTGGGTGCAGACCCCGTCCGCCTCCCCAACGCAGACACCTCCCCTGAACAGACGCGGAAGCCGAGCCCCCTCCCAGTCAGCCCAGCCCCCCTCCTCAGCTTCGGCTGAGCTGGGACTTGAACTCGGGTCCTGAGTGACCCTGCCCAGGCCCCCCTCCCCCTGTGCCATGTCCCCTGCAGCCCCAGGGTCCTCTGGATCTGGAGATGCTGAGGTGAGCGGCTGCTGGGGGGCGGGGGCACGAACAGGAGGCAAGTTGGGGCTCTGTCCTGGCTCCCTGCCCCTCTGAGTCTGACCCAGTAGCGTCCCCTACTGTCCTGGCTTTGCTGGGAGCTGGGGATCAGCCATGGGGTCCTGGGAGCCCTGCACCCCAGCTCCCCCCGGCAGCCAAGCTGGCGCCAAGTCCTCGCATGCACGGCCCACCCCCTGGGCGCTGGCAGGAGGGGCGGCAGGGGGAACGGCAGAAAGAGAGTTAACAGCAGCTGCTGACTTCTCTCTGGAAGGAAAAACTCCCCATAAACGCCCTGTTGCCTGGCATCTTGCCAGGGCCAAGATAGAGGCTAAAACTGGAAGTCCCGGCGAGTGGCCAGCTCTGCCTCTGCAGCGGACGCTTGAAGACGGAGCAGCCCCGTGGCCAGCCGTCCGTCCACACACCCACCGTCCACCCAGCTGCCTGCTGGTCATCTGGAAACCTCTGTCTGTCCACCCATCCGACTCTGTCTGTCTGTCTGGTCCTCCTCCGTCCTGCCCTCTGGCTGTGCGCCCACTTGTCTGTCTGTGGCCCCCGTCTGGTGGTCCACCTGCCCTGTCGCCTGTGAGTCCGGTCAGCCGCCCGCCTCCCTCTGCACCTCCCTGTCAGCCAGCTGCCTGCCCCCCTGCCTCCCCTCTCCCCTGGGCCGCAGCCATGGCCCAGGGCCGCGGGGCCGTGGTCAGCCTGGTCCTGCTGGGGCTGGGGCTGGCGCTGGCCATCATCGTGCCCGCCGTGGTCGTCTCCCGGCACCGCGTCCACTGCGGCCCCCAGGCCTTTGCCCACGCCGCGGTTGCTGCAGACTCCAAAACCTGCTCGGACATTGGGCGGTGAGTAAGAGGTGGGTGGGAGCTGGGTGGGCCTTGGCGCTGGCCCCTCCTGCAGACTGTGTGACTAGCGGCGAGCGTGTGGAGAAGACACGCGTGTGTGTGTGTGTGTGTGTGCACGCGCGCGCTGGCGTGTGGGGGCCACGCGAGTTTGGGGGAAGCAGCCCCAGGGCCCTTGCACAGACCCGGTGGCAGATGTGCCTGGGAGCAGACAGGGGCTAGGGCATCCACCGTGCGGGCAGAGCGGAGGCGGCGTGTGAGACTGGCCCGAGCCGCAGGCCCGGGAGGCGCGGCGGGGACACAGGGAGGCCCTGTTTTCCAAGCCTGGGGCCTCCCCAGGACATGGGTGAGGGGGATGCAGGCTCTGTGTGTGAGGACTGTGCGCCAGGGTGCACTCAGTGATGCCTGAGAGCAGGCTGCCCATCCTGGCCCTGGGAAACCCGCCTCCGATGGCGATGGCGCCGTGTCCCCTCACGGCCTCCCCTCTGAGTGTCAGGGCCTGGAGCTAGGCCAGCGGCTGGCAGAGGGACTGATGCTCTCTGGGCGGGGCAAGGGGGCCGTGCAGAGGGGCCCCAGCCGGCGTTTCTCCACCGACCAGACCTTCTTCCAGGAAGCCCAGCCCATGGAGGCTTCCCACCAGGACTCCCCTCCTGGCACTGCCTCTCTACCCAGCTGGGGCTGCGGGAGCCTGGTCTAGTACCTGCCTCCCTGCCGGCTCCATCTGCTTCCTGGAATGTCTGCCTCAAGGGCCATGATCAGGATCAGAAGCGCTTTGTGATCCAAAAGGGACAGTCCTGGACCTGAGGGGCACAGTGGCCGGAGCACTGCTGGGCAGAAGGCGTCCGTGCCCGCTCCGTCCCACGGTCACCCCTCTTCCCAGCTTTCTCCTGCTTTCCTTCATTCCTTCCTCCCTTTGTCTGCCGTCTGGCCCTGCCCCCTCCTGTCCTGGGCCCTCCGTCAGGGCTCCCTTGAGGATGACAGGGATAAGTTAAAGGGTAGGCTGCTTCATCTCTGGAGGGGGCTTCCAGGGGCCAGGAGGGGAACAACCCTCCCGCCAGAAGCGCTGCGCCCCCCTCACCCTGAACCCATATTTGCAAAGATGCAAACAAGTCAAGCCCTGCTGGCTCAGCAGGAAAGAATCCACCTGCAATACAGAAGACCTGGGTTCGATCCCTGGGTCGGGAAGATCCCCTGGAGGAGGAAATGGCAACCCACTCCAGTAATCTTGCCTGGAGAATCCCAAGGACAGAGGAGCCTGGAGGGCTACAGTCCATGGGGTCGCAGTCAGACATGATGGGGTGACTAAACAAAAACAAGTCGGGGGGGCTTCCCTGGTGGTCCAGTGGCTAAGACTCTATGCTTCCAGTGCAGAGGTCAGGGTTCCATCCCTGGTCAGGGAACTAGATCCCACAACTAAGATTTCACATGTCACAACTTAACAACGTCCTGCGTGTGCTGCAGCTAAGACCCAGCGCATAAATACATAGTTTAAAAAAGTCGGGACTTCAGCCTCAGAACCACTGATGAGGACGTGGCCCCCTGGGGGGGGGGCGGTGGGGGCTGCTATCATGGATCTATGCTATCATGGGGGCCCAGGCTCGCTGTGTGCCCCGAAGTCTTTGCTGGAGGTCTCAGAGGGTTAAGGGTTGGGGGTCTGTGCTCCGCAGCTGCCGCTGGCGAGGAAGAGGATGTGGTTTCCTTCCCAACTGTTTTCTGTCCTCGTCAAGCTGTGATTCCACTTCCTGCTGTTGTTCTGAGAAGTCAGAGAGATGGGAGGGAGCCTGGAGCTGCCCCAGCTGCCGTGGGACAGGGGCGATTCCTCTAGGCCCCCCCACACACTGTGCAGCCGTATCATCTGCCTCCCGTCCCTTTCTCCCCTCACCAGGTCTCCCTCCTTCTGCCCTGTGAGCCCTGGGTTCTCTGGGAGAACCTCTAGGGAGACTTGAGGGTCAGCAGTTATTCCTAGGCTCTGTGACCACTTGGAAATGCCACACAGGGTCCCCAGGGGAGGCTTCATTGTTCCAGTTCATGTCTGAGGAATCTCGGGAGGGTGGGGTCTTCCCAGGGTCCTCACCCTCCACCCAGGACCCCGGTGCCTGCCCAGCCCCTGAGCATCGATCATAAAGGCCAGAGCTTCACTGGCCCTTTGAGTTTGTTTCTGAATCCCAGCTCCCTTGTGGAGGGGTTGGGGGTGTGTCCCCAGTGAGATCAGGAAGGACATCCACCGGCTGGGCATCCCCAGGGCTGCTGAGAGGGGCGGAGGGGGCCGGTCCAGGCCTGTTGACCGTGAGCCCCAGCCTCTGGGAGGACCAGGGAGGACAGCCGCAGGGGCGCTTTGCAAACTGAGGAGCACCTTGCATGTGGCCAGGGGCAGTGTAAAGGATGTCGCAATTCGCAACCTGTAGAGTGCAGTGGGTCTGTGAGCCGCTGGACCTGGGGGCAGCCTGGTGTGGTCTCTGAACTAAGCTGGGGTGTGGCGGCAGCCGGCAGGCCACCCAGCTGTGCCCGCTCCCCAGTGAAGGCTGGCAGAGCAAGCCCGGGGGGTGGGGAAGGCAGGGGCCGAGCAGCCTGGCTGCTTACTCAGCGCCGGTCCCCCAGAGCCATCCTTCAGCAGCGCGGTTCGCCGGTGGACGCCGCCATCGCGGCTCTGGTCTGCACCGGGGTCGTCAACCCCCAGAGCATGGGCCTGGGTGGAGGGGTCATCTTCACTATCTACAACGCCACCACAGGTGAGTCCTCTCCGGACCCCCGTGAGGAGGATGGGCTCGGCCCCAGGTGCTAACAGGGAGGGGCTGGAAAAGCACCAGAGGGCGTGGCCGACCGGCCTGTCCGCCCCGCCCCTTACTGGGTCTCGCCACGCCCACCCTGGTGAGCCCTTCCGAGGGTTTAGATCCGAGGCCCAGAGCCGCGCCCCGGCTGTCTGAGCGGGAACCTGGTGTGCGGTGAGGCCTGGCAGCCTCCGGGGCGCCCCTGACACCCCGAACGTCCTGCCCAACCCCAGGGAAGGTGGAAGTCATCAACGCTAGGGAGACGGTGCCCTCCAGCCCCATCCCGGCTCTGCTGGGCCAGTGCGAGCAGGCCCAGCCCCTGGGCACAGGTGAGACCCCGGAGGACCACCTCCCCCCGCCCCTCCGGCCCACCCAGCCAGGCCACTGGGTTAGAACCTCCCTCCCCTAAGGGACAGTGCGCCTCGGGGACCGGCTGAGACACCCTGGCACTGGGCGGCGGCAGCTGGGGATGGGGGGCCCCCGTGGAGGTTCTAAACCCCGGGCTGGGGGCGTGTTCCTGGGGGAGGGCTCTCTCAGTGGGGAGGGGCGATCCAGGCAGCGACCACTTCAAAGGCCCCAGAGGGTTCGGTGGAGATGGGTGGAGATGGGTGGAGATGGGTGGAGATGGGTGGAGATGGAGCTGGTGGGCGGGGTCAGTGGACCGGGCTGTGGGCGGGGTCAGTGGACCGGGCTGTGGGCGGGGTCGGGGCCGGTTTTCCTGAGCCCCAGGGGCCTGGTCATGGACTGTGTAGAAGTCCATGGGGGGGTCAAGGGGGTTCGAGTGGAGAGGAATGTGCTTCCACCTGGGCTACAGAAAGCTCGCTCGGGCTGCTGCGGCTGGGAGGGGGCTAGGCGGCCAGGAGTGGGCTGATGGAGAGCCCCTGGGGCCGAGGGCACAGGTGGCCCCGGGGGCAGGGGTTTGACACCCTGGACTGTGCAGGCGCGCAGTGGATCGGGGTGCCCGGGGAGCTCCGCGGCTACGCTGAGGCCCACCGCCGCCACGGCCGCCTGCCCTGGGCGCAGCTCTTCACGCCCACCATCGCGCTGCTCCGGGGGGACTTCCGCGTGCCCACCGTCCTCGCCAGCTTCTTGCACAGCCCCTTCCTGCGCCCCGCCCTTACGAAGTCGTCCCTGAGGTGCGGGCTGGTGGAGGCCCAGGGCCCCTCCTCAGCCCCTTCTCCAGCTGGAGGGTCTGCCCTGGAGGCGGGGTGGGGCGGGGGGCCTTGGATGGCTAGCTCACAGCCATCCTGGTCTCAGCTCACAGACCTTCGCCTCCATTTGGTAGCACCTCATTGGAGGGCTCTGGCCAGAGAGAGTTTACGCCCACGTGACGGGGCTCCCGTGGCGCAGCTCTGGGCTTTGCACACCCCTCAGCCCTCCTCCCCACAGTCCTGTGCTCTCCCTGACCCCCACCCCACGCCTGCAGTCTCCCCTCCCTCCTTCCCCTCTGCCCTTCCCCCCTCACGCTCTGGGCCCACCCAGGCTGTCCACTGACCAGTCCTCCAGGAGGGCAGGGCCTCAGGCCCTGGGTGGACGCAGGCCTGGCAGGGGGTGTGGCCTCCCCGGACCGGTGATGAGACATGAGGGGTGTCAGCCCCACCCAGTCCTGGAGAACCTGCGCCCCCCACCCCACCCCCGTGTCCACCGCAGCCCCGCAGGACCGCGGACCAGGACTGCCTCCCATAGGGTCGGAAGTGTGGCCGCCCTCCAGGACCCGGCCCCCCCTGAGGCCGCCCCCCACCCCCCAGGCAGCTCTTCTTCAATGGGACAGAACCCCTGAAGCTTCAGGACCCACTGCCGTGGCCTATGCTGGCTGCCACCCTGGAGACCGTGGCTGCAGAAGGCGCAGACGCCCTCTACACGGGGCGGCTGGGCCAGCTGCTGCTGGAGGACATCGCCAAGGAAGGTCAGCGGGCGAGGTCCCACTGCCCTGCCGGCCGGAGACAGCGGGGTCTGGGCGCTGGGGCTGAGGGCAGCCCCGAGGGAGGGCCAGCGGTGCCCAGGCTTCAAGAGGCCGTTCCTGAATCCTGCCTGCTGCTGGGCTCAGGGACCCTGAGGTCAACACCCCTGAGGCACAGGGCTCTGAGGGTTCGGGCCTCAACACGGAACCATCAGCGGTCACGGAGGGCTCCTGCCCTGGAGCTGGGCCCCTCAGAGGCTAGCGTGCCTCCCCCAACTTCCCCTGCTCGCTCTCCACCCTGCCCATCTCCGGTCTGCTCACACATCCCGAGCCACTGCCCACAGACCCAGCATCGCCACCTCGCCCCGGGGTCTGGAAGGCTGTGGGTGGAGGGGAGCCCCGCCCCGGGGTCTGGAAGGCTGTGGGTTGAGGGGAGCCCCGCTGTGCGCCTCTGTCTCCCTGTCTGTTCATGGAGTTGTCCTCGCCTCGCCCAGGTAGCCAGCTGACCCTGCAGGACCTGGCATCCTTCCAGCCTGAGGTGGCGGACGCCCTGGCCATGCCTTTGGGGGACTACATCCTGTACTCGCCGCCGCCGCCTGCTGGGGGCGCCATTCTCAGCTTCATCCTCAACGTGCTCAAAGGTGAGGCTCCCCGCGGAGACCTGGGGCTGAGGGGCGTGCCCAGGGGCAGTGTGCTCCAGAGCGGGACTAGGGGGCGGCTAGGGCTCTGTGGGGGTGTCTGCCACCATCTTCCCATGGAGCTCCCCCCCACACCCTGACAGACCCCGACCCGGGGTGAGCTGCCTGTTGACTGTGTGCACCCAGGCCTGAGGCCCAGCCCACAGGGTGGTGGCGGGGGCCAGGGCCAGGACTGTCCAATGCTGACTACATTCTCTGGGGCTGCCGTTAACAGATGATCACCAGTCACCAAAACCTGCTGGCTTAGACCACAAGAAATTTATTCTCTGCTAGTTCTGGAGGCCAGAAGTTCAGAATCAAGGTGTCCACAGGGCCACCTTCCCTCCAGGGCCGGTTGGCAGGGGGAGCATTTGTTTTCTGCCTCTTCCAGCTTATGGCAGCTGCGTCCGGTCAGCATCTGCAGCCACACAGCCTCCCTGTCCTGCGTGTCTGTTTTACAAGGATGTCTTACATTTAGCGCCCACCGGATAACCCAGGATAAGCTGCTCCTCTCAAGAGCCTTCACTTACTGACGGAATTGCCGCACAGGCGGACACTCTTCCGTGGGGGGCAGGCCTCACAGGTCCTGGGGGCTATTAGGACACGGAGTCCAGACCCACTGCATGGCATGACCCCAACTGCGCCCACCCCCTCCCCCAGGGTTCAACTTTTCCGCCGAGTCGGTGGCCAGGCTGGAGGGGAGAGTGAACTTATACCATCACCTCGTGGAGACGCTCAAGTTTGCTGGGGGGCAGAGGTGGCGGCTCTGGGACCCTCGAAGCCACCCAGAGGTCCAGGTGAGGTGTTCTGGGCTGGTGGGCAGCCCCCATACCCACCCCAGGGCTCAGGGTCAGGCCAGTGGGTGCCCTGCCTGCAGACCCCAAGCGCCTGGCAGGTGAGGCCAGAGGGAGTTGAATATGGTTGGCTCTAGGACGGGAGGGCCTGGCAGTGTGACCAGGCAGTGTGGCCTGGGGGTTGGTCTGGGGACAGCAGGGAGTCAGGAGGGCTGTGGGGGCACTCTTAAGGGACCCTCTGCTGTGTGGGCCCCTGCCAGTCGCTCACAGACCCCCTCACCTGTCCACCCTCCCCAGAACGCCTCCCGGGACCTGCTGGGGGAGGCCCTGGCCCAGCACATCCGCCAGCAGATGGACGCCCGGGGTGACCACCCACTCGACCACTACAGCCTGGACGGGGCCTGGACCCACAAGATGGGCACGGCCCACGTGTCCGTGCTGGGCGAGGATGGCAGCGCCGTGGCCGCCACCAGCACCATCAACACGCCGTGCGTGGGGCCTAGGGCTGTGGGGGCCCCGGGCGGGCGGGTGGGCAGGCCGCGCTCCGTTCCCTGGGCCTGGGGCCCCGCCCCCACTTGCTGTGTCCGCGGGGTGGGTGGGGGGCGGTACCTCTCCTCCTGTCAGAGGGGTCCTGCACCCGGGCATCTCTGGCTGAAGGCTGTTCACCCGGTGTCTCTGAGCGCAGATGGGGAAGGGGCTTCACACCAGAAGGATGGTGCTGAGGGGGGTTGAGGCGGGGCCAGGGAGGCTCCGGGGCGGGGCCGAGAGGCTCTCTGGGGGCGGACCGTCCCAGCGTGCTGAGGGCGGCCCCTGAAGCGAGAGGCTCCTGGACGGCTGTGGGAGTCCGGAGCTCACAGCCGGCGCCCAGCCCCGCCTCTGTCCGCAGCTTTGGAGCCATGGTGTACTCACCACGCACGGGCATCCTTCTCAACAACGAGCTTCTGGACCTGTGCTGGCGCCACTCGCAAGGCTCCAGAGCCACCCCCCCGCCCGGTGAGCACAGGGCCCAACCAGCCCCGGGTGAGGGAAGGTGGGGCGGTCTGGCGTTGGTGGATCGTGGATCGTGCCTTGGTAGACGGAGACAGAGCGGGCAGCCCTGGGGGGCTGGCTGGGAAGCGAGGCTGCCCTGACTCCTGTCCGGCCGCCAGTTCCAGGTGAGCGGCCCCCGTCGTCCATGGTCCCCTCCATCTTAGTCAGCGCTGCCCGGGGGTCGAAGCTGGTGATCGGCGGGGCTGGCGGGGAACTCATTATCTCTGCGGTGGCCCAAGTGAGTCTGGGGGCTCCCGGCTGGAACGCGCCCTCCCTGGGCGGCCCTGCTGTCCCGGAGGAGTTGGGGAGGGTGACTGGAACCCCCCCACCTCCCTCCCTGCGTCGTCCTCTCCCTTGCAGGCCATCGTGAACAAGCTGTGGCTGGGCTTTGACCTGCAAGCTGCCATCAAGGCCCCCATCCTGCATGTGGACAGCAAGGGCCAGGTGGAGTTCGAGCCCAGCTTCAGCCAGGTGAGACAGACGCCGCCGAGCCTGCCTTCAGAGCCTGGGGGTGGGCGCCTCAGCTCCTGTATGCCTTGGGCCAGGTCTCCACACATCTCCAGGGTCTCTGTGAAGGGCCACAGACAGGCAAGCGTGGGGACCAGATCGCCAGGCAGGGCACTCGGCCCCTCAGACACCAGTACCTGGTGGGCCCTGACGTCCCCAGTTCTGCAGACGCACTGTCTCAGACCTGAGCCTTGAGGGCTGTGCTCAGAGCGCCTCACCCCCGAGGACCACTGGGACCTGGGGCCTGTGTCCTTGGACTCATGGGTCTTCAGAAGTCTTCAGTGATTCCTCCACCAGCAGGGCCCTGGGGAGTCTGACTGCCATGTCCCTGGCGTCCGGGATCCCCGGTGTTCTCGGGTGGGTGGATGTTGAGAGAGCGGGTCCCAAGCTGCCAATAGCATGGCACCAGGGCCATTCCTCCTGATGTTGAGTTGGGCTCTTCTTAAGCATGGAGGACCTGGCTCCAAAGGGCCCAGGCTCTGCCTTCTAGAGGCTTTGCTTTCCAGACCCTCAAAACCAAGTCCTCCACGGCCACCTACCTTCTCCACTGAAGCCCTGGACTCCTCTGGGGTCACGCTGAGGCCCCTGGTGTCTTCAACCCAGGATAGAAGTGAGCCTGCATCTCGGCTGTCCTTCCAGACAGGGCCACGTCCTCCTGTCATCCTCCCTGGAGCAGGGCTTCTGCTCTGGGGCCTGCAGAATGGGGGACCACAGACTCCGTGTCCTGCAGACGAGGCTGCTTCCAACACCCCTCTGTCCTCACCCAGACCCAGACCTCTGTCCTCCCCACTCCTGTCTGGGTTGGGGTCCTCAGCCCCCTGCCTGGGCCCCATCCCCTCTGTGACCAGCTGGCCTCCTCTCCCCTCCCCTCCAGGAGGTTCAGAAGGGGCTCCAGGACCGGGGCCAAGAGCAGAGCAAGAGGCCCTTCTTCTTGAACGTGGTCCAGGCCGTGTCCCAGGACGGGGCCTGCGTGCATGCCGCAGCGGACCCACGGAAGGGCGGGGAGCCCTCGGGCTACTGAAAGGCTGGTCCCTCCCGATTTGGGGTCCTGCCCAGCATGCACCCAGCTAGCCTGGCCCGGGGGACCGAGCGCTCTGGCAGGATCTGGGCCCCTGGACCGGATGGTCAGTCTGGGGCTGCAAAGAGGTGGATAGCCCAGCAGATGGACGGCTGTGGGGGCCCACCAGACGGCTCTCCCCCCACCAGAGCCCCTGCCCTGGCCGCTCCAGGCCTCACCCAGGACTGTGCCCCTGCCCCCTGGAAACCCCGCCCCCCACCTGTGTATCCTTTGGTCTGAGATTAAAGAAGAGACTGCACCACGCCTGACTCGGGGGGCGAGGTGGAGAGGGCCATGCACAGAGCTAGCAGTCTTCCACACATGCCACCACAGGGCCGGGGAAACCAGGGCCGGGCTGGTTCTCGTCCAAGCCGCCCCTGGACACTTGCTGAAGCTCCACACATGGCTGCCTGGACTGCCTGCTGGGAAGGCCGGGGTGTGGCCTGGGGCCACCTGGCCCTGGCTCCTGGGAGCCCGTGGCCAAGGCCCATCCAGGAGCTTGTCCTCTGTCCCGGGAAAAGACTAGAAGACTAGAGACCTAAGCCCTCCGCAGCCTGCATCTCCAGCCTGCTCTCACTCTCAGCACGGCTGACGTTTTGGGGGGAGTCATACTTCGGGGGGCTGTGCCCACACTGTAGGATGCAAAGCAGCATCCCTGGCCTCCCCCAGCTAAAGGAGCCCCCTGCCCCGGCCAGTCAGCAGTCACCCCCGATTGAGAACCGCTGCTCTGGACCCAGGAGCCCCTGGCCACTGGGCGCGGCTCTGCTAGCTGCCAGGCAGGCTGGCCTCCCTTGGGGAGGGGTCTTGGTGGGCTGATCTGGGGGGAGGTCCTGCCCACACCCTGATTCCTGGCAGCATCGGGAACTCCAGTCTCAGCCCAAACATCCCCCAGGGGCGCTGGAGCCCAGCAGCTCGGGCTGGGGAGGGCGTTGGCTCCTGGCCCCAGGGGACAGAATGCTGCTTACCTGCCCACAGCGCCTCCCAGCGCCACCCACGTTCACTGTGTCCCTGCACTCTGGATGCCCCCTGCCACCCCTGGGGGCTCAGTTACCCTCCGTGAGCCAGTGGGTTTCCTCCCCGCCCAGGCTCTAGCCCAGCTTTCTGGAACATCAGACTCACATGCCCTCCCACCCACCCCCTGAGCACCTGGACCCTCAGGCACCTACCTCGGACTCAACACGCCAAACCAGAAGCCAGCTCTGAGGCAGCCAAATGGCCTCCTTTTCCCGCTCCGAGACGGTCACCCAGGCCTCCCCCTCCATCTGCGTGGCCTGGCCTTGGTTCCGTCTTTATCCCTCTCTCTGCCTCCCGGCTGCTGCTACCACCTTGGTCTGCTCCCCACTCAAGACAGCCATGACCCTTCAAGTCCTGCGAGGAGGCCACACGGGGCCCTCCTTGGCCTGCGGGGCCCCTGGAGGAAAGCCAGTCCCCACGCCCTGCTCCTCCCACCCCGGGAGATTTGCTGGCCCCTGCCTGTGTCCCTCGTGGACCACAAGCCACGCCGTCCGGGGCGCGTTCCCAGCCCAGTTAGCAGCTCCTGCAGCTTCTTTAAACATCTCGTTAAACAGAGGCAGTCAAAGCCAAGACTGCCGTATCTTCAAAATAACATTCACACATACAGATCAGTCCCCACAGAATACAGCGAGAGGTAAAAGAATTTGCCTGCCAGTGCAAGAGACGTGGGTTTGATTAGGAGGATCCCCTGGAGTAAGAAATGGCAACCCACTGCAGTATTCTTGCCTGGGAAACCCCATGGACAGAGGAGCCTGGCGGGCCACGGTCCGTGGGGTCACAAGGAGTCGGACACGACTGAGCACACACGCACGCGGGGCTCGGAGGAAAACTCATTGTGTGAGATAGTTACATTAAAATGATCAAAGCATCTCATGTCAGACGTTAGCAAAGCAACAATCAGAACAGCAGGGAAAGCAAGAGGAAGAGTTTAGGAACAACCGAAGCAGAAATTGAGAATTTGAAGTCAGAACAGATCTTGGAAAAAATATACAGCTATTAGCTAGCCAATCAGTAAAAATTAAGGAAGTATAAATACGCAAAGAATGAAATGAGAATGGGGAAATAACCTAAGCTATAGAGGAAGTTAAAAGTACTAGAAAAGATGACTCATTTTAATAAGAATAAATTTGGAAACTTGACAAAATAAACTCTCTAGGATAAATAGGATTATGGTACTTAATACATACTAAAAACATCTCTGTTTATCAGAAATTCAGATTCAATTGGGCAGGCTTACAGGTCCCAGAAGGAGCAAAGATCTAGGTGGGTCAACGATTGCACAGAAAAGCTGAGAACACTGCAGACAGTGGCCTACCTCAAACGCCCTTCTGGAAAGTTTCCCAGTGTCCTGCCATTAGGACCAGAGGCTTCTTCTGCCAATTGTGTTCGGGAAGCTCAACACAAAGACCTCAAAAAACAAAATACTCGCAAGGAGACTCTAAGCAACACATTCAAAAGGACAGCATGTCTCCAGCAGGCCTGCAGCAGGACGGCCAGGAACAGCAGGACGGCCGGGAACGTCAGGACGGCCAGGAACAACAGGACGGCCGGGAACGTCTGCTAGGGCCTGGACTCCTCTCTCAGCGGAGGAGGAAAACCAGAGTCATCTCCATGGAGAGGCATCTGACAGAAGCCAACACTCATTCTGGATTAAGAGAAAAACAATCCGTGGACCTAACACCCAAACACTGGAAGAGACACACAGGTATTCCCTTCACATGAATAAATAAATATCTCAAGACAACAACAAGGCCTGCTGGACACTGACCACGGCTAGGTGCAACTCTGTTGCTTTCCTTGTGTGAATCCACGTGATTCTGAACGGAAGGGAGCCACGATGACCCCCATCTTACAATGAGCAAGTGCGCACTCAGTCATGTCTGACTGTGCCCCGCCGTGGTCTGTAGCCCGCCAGGCTCCTCTGTCCATGGGATTCTCCAGGCACGAACACTGGAGTGGGTTGCCGATTCCTTCTCCAGGGGATCTTCCCGACCCAGGGATCGAACCCGAGTCTCCTGCATCTCCTGAAACTGGCAGGCGGATTGTTTACCCCGAGCCCCCTGGGAAGCCCACACTGAGGATACTGAAGTCCCAAAGCTCCTAGGGTCCCGGCGAGAACTAGAGGTGGGAACTGGGGAGGCAGGC